AATTCCTGATTTGGAAAACTTTTTAAGTCTGCTATATATAACCTTAAAAAAATGTTGAAAATATTAATGCTATTTTTTTTCCCAGAGCACATGCTGAATGTCTATGTCTAATATAATAATAATGTAAATAACAATCAGATCCTATATATTTATAGGATCTGATAATAACTTTTTTAAAAATATAAACCACACAAAAAATAAATACCTTAATTTATAAATTTTTTAAATTTAATTTTCTTATTTAAAGTTAATACATCATTCTATTAAAAAAACATTACTATTTATTGTTAAAATGATGTTAAAAAAATGCAGAGTTAACATAAATCTAAAAAAAAAAACTACGCAGAGTTGGCATAAATCAAAAACTGTAAGTATACTCAAATATTCAGGTTTTTCAAATGTTCATAATACATATGTTAAAACTGGCAAAATCAATGACAAAGGGTGACATCTAGTTGTTTTTTTTCATGTTGATTTGACATAAATTGACCCTAGAGAATAAATCTGGGAATATAAAAAAAAAATTGAGAATAATAATAAGGAAAAGGTTTTTAAAAAGATGAAAAAATGAACAAAAGTAGATATAAAAATTAAAAAAAAAATTATTTTAATTATGCCAATTTATGTTAATTGGTTGTAGTTTTTTATTATCTCAGGTGAAAAAGTAGTATCTCATACAATTACTGATCAGTCTGTAAAGACATTAACAAGTGTACTCAAGCGTAAGCCTGTTATTTGGGATAACATCCATGCAAATGATTACGATCAACGACGATTATTTTTGGGACCATACAAAGGGAGATCTTCTAAGCTCTATCAATCTGTGTCTGGAATTCTTACAAATCCAAACTGTGAATATGAATGCAACTTTATTGCTTTCCATTCACTTAGTGGATGGATAAAATACTGTGTTTCAAAATCCAAAGACGAAATTCAAGAAGTATGTGAATATGATAGCAAATTAGCTCTTGAGGAGGGTATAAAAAAATGGATGGAACTGTTTAATTTGAAGCGTGACATATTTTATGGTGAAAAGTTTAGCAACAAGATGTTGTTAAATGAAATTAATTCATTTGTGTCAAGCGAAGAAAATGGTGAATCTAAGAATAATCCAGAAAATGAAAGCGGTATGTTTCAAATTTGGTTAAGTAAATTTCTGTTGTAATTTTTTTTTTCACATTTTATGTTTATTATACATGTTTTGAGTTAAAATGTAAGAATTTATAATTAAAATATCAAATTTTTTTTGTAAAATAATATTTTATGTTACAACAACAACAACTACAACTTTTACTACTACTATTGTTTTTATTATTTATTACTATTATTACAATAATTAACAATACTTGCTCTAAATAATAAGATTATTTATCGTTAGCTATTATTATTATTATCATCATAATAATTGTTAAACATGTTTTGTCTTTTTTTAAAACCAAAAAAAAAAAATAAAAAGGGTTAAACTTTTTTATTGAAAAATTGGCTATTTTTTTAGACAGCTCTCCACATAAAAAGATTAAACCTTCACTGATTGGATTTTCTGATGTTTTTTTGTTGTGTCATTTGTTCTACCTTCCATATGAGCACGGTGATAGCGGTCAAAAAATGTTAGATGATTTTAGGTGGTTGAAAGAGAATGCAGTAGATGTACATGCTATTGATCAATACAAG